CCGCCCCCTCGATCATTTCGATAATCCCGTTAACCGGACATTAACGAATCGCCGGGTTTGATCGACGATCCTATCCACCTATTGAAATTCTTTTAAAGAATATTATTATATCGTTCTTGATGAATCATGGAACCCTTTTTTTACCTCTCTATCCCACCCCGGAACAAAATTTTCCCCAGTTCGTTATTGGAAGAACACGAACGAGGTATTATTATGAACACTTTGAACGCGACAAAATCTTTGTTAATGACCACCTGTTGATCCTTTTTTTCTTTTCTTTTTTCCTTTTTTTTGGAGATTAAAATAAATCGATATATTATAATATTATTATAAAACGCGTAATAAAATATACGTATTTTAATCGTATTCGTTCGAGAGAGAGAGAGAAGAAGAAAAAAAGAAGATTTAAAGATGGAAAGAGATAAAAGGGAATGATAAGAGCGTATCGATAAAAATAGTGGTAAGAAGGTCGAAGGTCTTTCTTACGTAACACGAAGAAAGAAATATCCCCTTTCCCCCCCCCCTCGTACGATACATATATACGTTTGATAGAAAACAAGGAGCAAAAGAATGGAAGTTTGAAAGGGTTCGCATGCGAGGTAACATTCTTCGTAACCATTTTCCCCGTTTTACGGTAAAAGTAAGAGAAAAGTTATCGGTATGTCCGAGAAAAAGGGGGTGGTGGTGGTAGTGTTGGGGGGGAGGAGGGGGCGAGGGTTATTTGGCCCGAACGAAAACCGCACCACCAACTTTGCAGACTTCGGTAAACCGACTAAAATCAAAGACAAGGTCTGGTTGGGTTTTTGCCCTAGCTCACATAATTAGCACGTAGAGGAGAATTAGTTCTTTTGCCGTGGTAATGAAAAGAGACGTTAAATACCGTTCGGGAAAAGTTATTAATAATCGTTTCAAGGGGTTGGCTATAGAGTCATACAAATGAGATCTAATTAGGAGCAGAGGCACTTCGAAGAAGAAGAAGAAGAAGAAGTCTCGGGTTTGAACTTTGCCTTCGTTCACCTTTCCACCAATGGTTCGTTCTCTTTCCATTTTATTTTTTTTTTTTGCTTTTTCTCACTCCTTCATCCTAGCCGTGTTTCCTCGTCTTTTTCTATCTTCTTTCTTCTATCATTAAATCTTTCTTTCTCTCTTTCTCTTTCACAACCTCTTGAATCGCTTCCCTAAGCATCACGACGATATCTTAATAACGTTTCTACGCGCCACGTTCCTTACTCACGCTCAAAGCTTAAGAGAAAGAGAGAATGAGAGAGAATGAAAGAGAGAATTAGAAATAGAAGGAGAAGGAAAACGAAGAGGAGGAAGAGGAGGTTCAAGCCAGATCGGAAGAGCGCCTTAGCGTCTGAAACTCGGATCTCCGGTAGTAAAATAGACGGCTTAATTGCTTAATTTCTCACACGGCGAAACCCCCTTACCCCGTTATCCCCATTCCACCATTCCCCCTTACTCCCTCCGTTCCCTACTTGAAAGAACAAAAGCGTGTGCATAGGACCGTTACCCCGGTCTTCATCTTCTTCTTCTACTTCTTCTTCGTCCCCTCCTCCTCCACCCTCCCACCCTCCCTACTTCTTCTTCTTCTTATTCTTCATTTTCTTACTTTTATGCGTTATCAACATTACTCCTAGCGTGACACTTTAATTATGCCGCCGCGTAAATCCAACCGCCTAAGCGAGCACGCACTTGCGATATTCCGATGGTGTCTACCCATCTACCCATCTACCTTACCCATCGAATAGGTTGCCCATTAAATAGCCGACTCCTTTTCCCCCCTTTTACGCTTATCTTATATTAGTATATAGCCTGGAGAAAGGGAAGAAATGCGATCTCTATCGATTTCTATCTTTCTTTACTTTATTTATTTCTTTTTCTATTATTATTTTTCTTTTTCTCTCGCAACGCGCGAATCTTTCCGTTCTATAATCTAAGCGTGAAAGAGAGTGAGAGAGAAAGAGAGAGAGAGAGAGAGAGAGAGAGAGAGAGAGAGAGACAGAGACAATTAACTGCGAAAGGCTATTTTACACGCGTTTATTTCAACGAAGAATCGAAAAGATTCATAGCTTTTACATGTCCCTCTCGGAGAATTGTGGTTTGTGTTTTCGATTTATTTAAAAAAAATAGAAGAGGAAAGAAAAGTGAGGGGAAAAAAAAGAACAAATAGCCAGATAGAGAGGAAAACAACAATCCACCAATCATATTTAACTGCGTGTAGAACCGACGAAAAGCGCGATCTAGTTCGACGATCCCTGTCTCGTCATTGATCCTATCGTCCGCAAAAGCTATTGTTTTCGGATAAAAAAAAAACACGCTTCGTACTTCGTTCTTTTTTTTTCTTTTATTTTTTTTACCTGTTCTCTTTTCCTGTCTTTTTTTCGATTAAAAAAAAAAAAAAAAGAAATAAGTCGTTTGTACAAAATTTTAATCATTCGTTCGCGAATCTGAAAGGAAAAATCCTTTGCGGTTGGTTTATCGGTTGGCTCGTAAAAAAAAAACAAAATTTCAACCAAATTCATTCGAAGCATATTTTCGATGGTTCGAGAATACTAGACGGGTTGCTCGTAAAAAAAATTACAATTTTCATTCCGGAATCATTTTCAATGCTTCAAGGATGGAATATTGAGTTTCTCGTAATCGTTCATTTAGTTTTCTTCATGGTACTGTCGAGTTGAGATGCTTATCGATTTCAATCGTTCGAAAGAGCGGAAAGAAAAAGATCGAAAGAGAAAGAGAGAAAGAGAGAGAGAAGAAGAGAAAAGGTGCTTCGCTTAAGATCGTAAAAGTAGAAAGAAATTTGACTCGGTTAAGTTTCGACGAATCATTTCTCTCGCATCGTTTAATAGCACGAAGAAGGAAGAAGGACTATGAAGCTGCTTCTCTCTCTTTTTCTCTTTCTATCTTTCTCTCTCTTTCTCTCTCTCTCATAGAAAGTTCACAGATCGGCCGGAACGATCTAGCAAACGAGTGTTCTTTGCAAAAGAAACACTCTGTTACGTAATTTCCTCGTGCAAATATCATTCCGCGGTAGGACGTTTAATTAAATTTTTTTGTCAAATTCGGTTAGGGGAGAAGGTCGATAGGAAATATTCGTTCGGTTCGCTCCGTTCCTTTCCATTCGTCCGATTGTGTTTCTCGTAAAATTTGTCCGATCAATTTTATTAAAACGACTACGAACAAGTACGAATATTTGCACCCGTTAATTACATATATATTTGCAATAGCGAATTTATATATTTATTAAATCGTATCTGGGATTTATATTAGAATCCGATAATTAAACTACTATCCAACTTTAACAAATTCGCGTAACACGAATATTAGCGTTCGCGCGAATGAGTCTCGATGAACGTTTCCGCCCCCCTTCCCTCTTCCCACCATCACACCCCTCCTTCCCCATAGCGAAATCGATTTAATTAAGATACCCCACTTGCGGATATGGAAAAAAACGCAGTTAGGTAAGCACCGATTTTTATGTAGTTTTTCTTCGATTCCTCCCCCACCCCCTCGTTCTTTATCCCCCACCCATCTCTCTCTTTCTCCCTGGTTCGTTTCCTCTATCTTTCTTGTTTTTCCCAACGAGAACGCGTCTCAATTAATTGAAACGATCGACCTCCGATACGATTCGAAACTTTATTGTTCCTATTCTCTTGACTTTTCTTTTTCCTTTTATTTCCTCCGGCAAACATTACGGGGAGAATAGGAAGCACCCGACGGGTGGAGAACAGATAGATATCATTCGTTTAACACCGATAACATGTGTTTCGGTTAGATCCTTATTTGATATAATATACGCTTACGATATTTAACTACTAGCGATAGGAAATAATAATTACATTATTTATTTCGCGATTTAACCTACGGTATCTCTAATTGTTGGCAATAAAAACGTACGTGAACTCGACTATGATCCAATATTATTTGTCCTTTATTATTCTATTTATTATAACTCTTACGTTTCTCTTTCTTCATTTTAATTCAACAACGGTATATAAGCTAACTTCGGTATATCGATATACAAAGGAGTGCTTTAATCCCATCCGACGACTAACGTTTAGTCTCGCACAAAGAGAAGGAAATCGGACCCTTTCGTCTCACCATATCCGACATACTGTGTTCTTTTCATCGTGAAAACGATGAACGACCGAGTACGGTTAGCGCCGGTTGTTTTTCTTATCGGCGTGTACTGTGTCCCTTATACCGAGGATGAAGGGGACAAGATGAGATGAGAGAAGAGGAGAGGAGAGGAGAGGAGTGTGGTAGTTAACGGAAGGAATTTACGGAGCAGAGGTTAGCCAGGCCCAGCTTACGAGCAACGTTACGCGACGACCGTTTCGATCAAGTCTTCTCTTTCTTTTCTTTCTTTTTGCAAGATTGATCAAGATTGAAAAACAGACTCGCTCACGAATTCGTGAGAGATCGAACAACACAACTACGAGGACGACGACAACGACGACGACAACGACAACGACGACGCAACGATGACGATGACGATGACGATGAGGAAGAGGAGAAGGAGGAAGAAAAGGTCAATGTTATCATCCTTCGATCCTACGAATCCGAGTTAAAGTGATCGATCGTGTAAGAAGATCGATCGAAGGAAGTATCATCCCCTCCCAAGAAAAAAGAAAAAAACATTTTCTTATTTTTCTTACAGAGGGTTTGGGACGTAAAATCGATTTGACGTCCCCCCGTCGGACTGGAACGATCTTTTAAAATAACGATCGAGAAAAACTTTTCATCGATTGTTCTGTTCTATTAAATTAACATATTATAAGGGTGTGATCAAATTTATTTTGATAATAATCCTTATAGATCAAATTTGATCAATACTCTTTCTGTTTCTATCGAGTTATCGTCAAAAAAATCATTATTATTATTATTATTATTATTATCTTCATATCGTAATCGTGATCTAACGCGATTCGATCAATGTAAAATATATCCGAAGAAATTTGTACGGTTTAACGCGCGAGACTGATATTTCTTCTTACCGGTTACGGTGCCGGCGAACACGACGAAAAGCAGCGAAACGAAAAGGGAAGGACGCGCGGCTCGGTATTTCGCGACACTTATCATCGTGCGTATAGATCTCGGATTGCAATTATCCACACCCCACCGTCGTAATAGCACATACAACACACAGAAACGCGCGAGCGCCTTTCCGTGACACTGGCGGATATCACTGACGATCGTTCATATCTCAAACAACACTTCCGCGTATAATATCACGTTCATATCACAATCGTATAACGATCCATCCGTTATTTCGAATCACACTGTATATATATATATATATATAACACTTGTCACCCTTTTGCTTCTTATTTAATATCTCGAATCAAGATAAAGAGTTACAACTTTGATTTATTATTTTTTAATCATCGATCGACAACTAAATAATTGTTTCTTTGCTCTATCTTATCGAAGACAAACTTTTTACGTTTGTGTGTTTTTAAGAATATAAAAATGTGCAGAATTCCGCCACGATCGAAAAACGCGAAGAAGGGGAGGAGAGAAAAATAAAACTTAAAAGGATAATATAATATCAATCGGGAAAAGAAATTGTTTGCTTTCGACGATTAAACGATCCCGTTTCTTTTTTTTTCTTTTTTTCCTTGACTTTTCTTTTCTTTTCTTTTCTTTTCTTTTCTTTTCTTTTCTTTTTTAGGATAACGAATAACGTCGTTTTAAAAGGGGACAAACGACGTAACGCACCGGAGCTTTTCCGGTCGACGTCCGAGCGGCTACTGAAGGCTCCCGCCGCAAGCACGAAGAGCTTCCAGTGCGTCGACTCCGTCGTGCAACCCCCAAAGCTTTGGTACTTCTCTCTCACTCTCCCTCTCTCTCTCTCTCTCTCTCTCTATTTCTATCCCTATCTCTCTATGTACCCCTATCTTCACTGTTCCTCTTGGAAAACCCTCTCGGCCATTTTAGCGCCGCCGTTGCGATCAGGCGCGCCAGTGCGGGCTGCGCGCGCGAGAGAGCTTTCGCGTCCTAAAGCGAAATGCCGAGGAGGAGTAAGAGGAGGAAGAGGAAGAGGAAGAGGAAGAGGAAGAGTAAGAGGAGAAGAAGAAGGAGAGAGAGAGAGAGAGAGAGAGAGAGAGGTGGCGGCCACGGATGGGTGGCTAGACAGGAGGGAGTGATTGATTGGCGCTGAAACTTCGCGACTGATTGAATCTTTTTTACGTTTCAATATTGATATCCCCACATGGGAACTATGGCACGCGAAGAAAAGGATACTATTTGGTGTGGGCGGGGGTGGGAGTGGGCGAGAGGATGGTGTGTCGAATCTACGAACAAAATATTATTTTATTATTATTTTTACAGATATATATTAAGTTACTATACTTTTAGATATTTTCAAGAAATTCGAATAATCGAAAAACACGTTTTTTTTTTATCTTTCTTTTGATTCTTCTTATATTTTTCTAATTCAGATTTTTTAGATCGTTATTTAAATGTCGTTGCGTGCAATAAATTACTTCATATATGCGTCACACGACGGGTTTTGAATGAGAGAAAAGGAGAGAAAGAGTAAACGACAGGATAAATAAGATAGCCCGGAGTCGTCTACGATTAAGAATCACTTTAGCGAAGGTTGCAGCACGTTCCTACGTCGTCCCTTCTTCTTGAAAGCTTTCGAACGTTACGATGCAAATGACGCGTGATTCACGAAGAAGCGCGCTAATCACTGTTCTCGTCCATCGAAGACGTATAGGTATCAAGGAGAATTACGGTAATTAAGGTCGAGCCTCACCTAGTTGTTAGAGATACATTAATCAAGAAGTTGGGGCAGATCAAATGTTTTTCACCACTCGATATCGTGAGTAACGGACGATGTTCGAGAATGTGTTCACTTATATAATGTCCCTTTTTTTCTTATTCTTCTTCTTTTTCTTTTTCTTTTATTCCTCTTCCCATTCTTTTCTTATTAAGATCTACGATAGTACGAAGAAGAAGTAACGGAAGAGTAATAATAAATTGAAACGTGAACTTTGTTCGAAAAATAATCATGATCAGGAAACCGTCTTCTATCTTGAAAATCGACAATCTATACTCGACGCATCATCCTCTTAACTTCGTTTCCGATTATCCTTTTTTTTTTCCTTTTTTTTTTTTCTTTTTTTCTCTATAATCGAATAGGACAGATAGATAGATGCAATGACCTCGTTATAATCCAAAGAAGAAATCTGTCGATCACGGATACATCTGCATATCAAAGACAGAGTTGAGTTAATTAAGAGACCGGATGGATGATGAGTCGAGTCGAGTCACTGATTAGAAGATTAACTTGATAGGTACGTACCTACATACCTACTTACAAACGTGGACCGGACGTAGACGAATCCGATCGATGCAAAATCTCGTTTAGGAAATCATCGACGATTATTTCACCTTTCTCTCCACTCTCTCGTCTTTTCCTTCTTTCGCGAGGCTCAGCGAGGGAACAGCGTTCCAGTTTCGCGTGAAATTTCTTCATTGATCTTTGGAAAGCTCGAATATGGTTGGGGGGATGCGGGGCGGGGGCAAGGACGGGGGGAAAGACTTACCAACGATGCAAAGTATGCTTGCGTTACGAAGCCTTCGAATAACTTGATCGGTTTATACGAGAAATGAGCGGAAAGTAGGAAGAATCGATGGTTGTTGGGCTGCCTTTAATTTCTTCGCGAGGAAGAGAGATAGATGATTTCGCATAGGTAAAATTAGTTAGAGAGAGAGAGAGAGAGAGAGAGAGAGAAACAGAGAGAAACAGAGAGAAACAGAGATTATAACGCGTCTGTGCGTACAAACGGTGCAACGAACAGAAATTTTCATTAAACGAGTTACAAAGCTTACACTTGCAGATGAAGCTTCAAAGCTGCTATGCACAGTGCACGCTAGAGAGGAAAGGATGCGATTAAAGGAAACGTTTTGACTCTTTGATTCACCCGCAAGACGATTGGACCGAGTCAATTTTTCTGCATGACAGACCGTGAAAGCAGCCGGGATCCTACTGCAGACAAACACATCCTAGACTGGAACACACTTTCTTACCTGTTCAACGGAATTTCTGTTTTCCCAAAGATTTTTCACTTTCAGCGACAACACACAAATATCGTGGATTTTTCCTATCGATGTTTCTACGAGCTTAGATTTGGTTTTTATTTTTGGATCGAAAATATTTAATGTTAATTTTATCAAATTCAAATTACGATATACACGCATACCTGTATACATATGCATAACATAGTATCTACGTTTGTATGAAATCAACAATGCGAATCTCGGACCTTCATGGTAAAACTCACGATACGGAGCACGAGATAAGTAACTCTGGTTGGCTCGTACCACTTCTATTTATTTATTTTCTCCCCTGTATATATATATACGAGATTGTGCATATACGTTTACATACAATGCACCTATGTATTTATACGCAAAATAATAGTCCATTTCTATTTGTTTCTCGTATATAGACGCAAGCTTTTTCTTGCGGCTCGCGAACAAAATTAGATGCAAAGAACAAAGTAGCAGACAGGAGGAGGAGGAGGATTGGATTAAATAATGAAAAGGGTTGGGAGAAGAAAATAAAAGAAAGGAAAAATATTCTCGTACATTGGTATCGAAAGAAGATTGGTAAAAGAGTGAAGAATAAAATGATAGAAAATAGGGAGAAAAATTGTTGTCGGTGGACCCAGATGCGGCGGTCCGATTGAACTTTAACGTCGTTTGCAAGCGTTTTCGCTTGGTCGGTCTGGCACATTCTAACGTTCCATTGCGAAACTGTCGAAACTGTCGAATCACGGACAAAGGGTGTATAATGCGAAAGTTACAAACAGTCGCGAGAGTAACGACGCGCTGTCTCACTAGCGGGCTTCGCGATATGAGTACACAGATGGAAGTTCTTGGACCGTATAATATTCTATGTGCGAGTTGTCACTTCGTGACCGCATTTCACTGACTAATGAGTGCTTTCGAAACCATGTTGGCTAGGTTCTGTCAGATACACCTTCTCTTTCTCTTTCTCTTTCTCTTTCTCTCTCTCTCTCTCTCTCTCTCTCTGCTAAGTACCTTTCCTGTAAACCGTTTCTCGATATATTCCACGTACGTATGTTGCTAGGTAGATATGCGTTTTCAAGGGAGGATAACAGAGAAATACAAGATTAGAGTGGACTAGTTCGTTACGGGGGTTAAAGGATACTAACTAGGATATCTCACATAAGCTCGATAATGTTTATTTTAATTGTAGAATATTCTACGTCGATTCCTATTACGATTGTTATTTAATGCACGTTATATCATTATTTTATTTTTTACATACCAGCTTTGATGTTATTTCTCTGTCCTGGAAATCGTCTTCTTCGATGTAGGAACAGGATTTAGATCTTTGAGATCGATCGAACTAAAATGAAACATACTAGGCATGGTTTTTACCTCTGCGATATCCCACGGAGAGTCCATTAGAATCTACATTTTTAGATTGGTTTAATTCTTTCTTTTTTTTCATTTTGTTTTTGCAAATTATAATGCATTATAACTATTCTGAAATAAAAGGTACTTATATATACACATAAATGGAGAATTTCAAATAGGAATAAAATTAAATACTAATTTTTAGAAAATACAAGAAGGAAACTTATCGTTTATATTTACATGTCTCACCGACACGATGTATACAATATTTTTATTTCCGTAATAATCAGTGTGTTTATGCGGCGTGTCAGTATTTCTGTATGTATGTCTATACATTATTAAAAAAAAAGGAACGAGATAAAATGTAAAAAGTGAGTGTAATAAAGAGATAGAATAAGAGAGAATAATAAGACAAACGTTTGTTTTCTCCGTGTAAGTGTTACGTGTTTCTATTAAGACAAAGTACAATATATGTATATTATAGTAAATATAGTAAAAGAAATAATAGGTTTGGACGCAATCGGTTTGGTTCGAGACGCGCTGTTGCGAGACCATGGCAAGCTACTTATGAAAATTCATCGAATTCGAAACTATTCTGAAAATACGAATTAACAAATCTTTTATTTTTAGGCCGAAAATGTAATGAAAAAAAAAAAGAACAAAACCTATAGTTAAAAGGAAACAATAATACGGAAAATGAAATGAAATTAAGAATGCGTTAAGTTAAAACGAGCTTTTGAACATCGCTCGTAGTTTACGAATTTAACACAGTAAAATTAGAATGACGTCTCGTTCGATGAATTTTCGTAATAAGTTTGCAGCATTATAATACTCTATTTGCATGCGTAATCGGCGGTTTGCACTACTCGTCACGTACATACAAGTTATTGGGCGATAGTTCGGTACCGCTTGTTTAAATCAACCCTTCCTACGAATTATCGTGACCGAAGGACGAAATCGACAACGCCATCAAAAACCTATTAAAAGTTCGATATACAAATTAGACCGCGTTTGTTCGTACATGTCATATTTATTAATATATATTGAGAAATAAAGAAAGAAAGAGAAAAAAAAAAGATCTTTGTGGATTAATCGTAAATAATATCAGACTGTGCGAAAGTACATTGCCATTTTTTATAAGAGCAATGCAAATTACTAAAAGAAAAAAAAAACAATGTAGGTAATAATTCCATTCTTCGTCCTTCTTCTTTTGTTTTGTTTTTATAATAATCAAAAGTTATATTACTTATATTAAATATTAATATTGAGTCTTTCTTTTTTTTCCGTAAAAGTATATAATTAATAATAAAAATAAACGTTTGTGACGTAAAAATATAAAACGAAACAAATAATAGAGAAATTTCCCAAAACGTATAACAACATAATACAATGAACTTATCTTTCGTACAACTTATAACGAAACAATGAGCATCATTTACAA